ATATATATATATATATATATATTGTTTCTCACTTTAAAAGGTGACACCGCTGACGAAAATTCCTACGTACGCCACTGAGGCTGCCTAATGATAAATTAAACAGTCAGGAATAAAAACCGAGTTCAGCTTTCACTAGTTTTAGTGTAATCAATTGATTCAACCAAAGGACTTGACACAAAAGTGCTACAAAGTAGCTGAAAAATATTACTCCCACTGTTTTAATTTATTAGTGTTACTTTCTTTTTTAGTCTGTTTAAAAAAAAAAGTCGAGAAAATGGTCAAATGCCCCCTTAAGCTATGACCGGATTCTCAACTACACACTTATTCTTCACGAGAGTCCTATCACCCCCTAAACTGTTTAAAACTAAAATTATCATCACCCTAAATGCCTACATGGCAAAGTGAGTGTATTGCACTATCCTTGAGAGAGTGAACCTAGAAAAAAAAAAATTAACTTTTAATATTTTTTCATAAATTTCCGTATTTTTATTTTTTCCTCCCTTTTTCTTGTATTTGTTTCTAGTTCTAATTTGTTTTCTTCTTCATACCTATTAGAAGTAGATCATCAATGGCAGCCACCAAATTTCATCGTCACTCATCATCTTGTCATTACTAATTTTAGCTTCAAATAATATTCTTCAACTTATTTAACAATTGATAATTTCCATGCAAATCTAAAAATGCAACCCAGTTCTTCATCTTCTTTAGTACAATTTCTATAAAAATTTGATGCCAAATCACTTCAACCCTTCTTCAAATCACTCCAAATTCTAGATATAAACTTTTCTCACCGTTTCGATTCTTTTGGTATATTACCCACTTAAAACGGAGATCGTTTGTGGCAAGTCAAAATAAGAACTCAAGCTTTTGAACTAACTTTAATGGTGGTTTAAGTTGTGCTTCACGGTTTCAACCTTGAACTTCAATTTTCAGCCACACAAAATTCTTCAAACCATCAACGAAATCACTTGCTTCCAATTCAAGAATATAGATTCAAAAAAATCATATTGAAGCTTTACCCATTTCCATGGAAATCTGGCGTTCTTAGAACTAAAATTTGCAGCTATGAAATCATTTAACCAATGTTTTCAGCTTCAAACAACTAACAATCAACATTATAATCAACAAAATTCAAATAAGAAGATCAAAAGACACAGATCTATAAATTTTGACCTTTTAACCTTCAACAAAGTTTTTAAATGATGAATCAATAAGGGAAAAACTAAAAATAAAAGTCTTTAATAAAATTTCAACCTGTCAAAACGCATGCATTTCACTTATCAACATAAATGTGGTTGAAACTTTTTAGGTGTGTAATTATTTCAATTTTTAACAGTTTAGGGGGGTGATAGGACCCCCGTGAAATTCAAGTGTGTAGTTGGAAATTCGAGTATAGATTAGGGGGACATTTGACCATTTTCTCGTCCGATAATCTGCAATTATCTGACATTTTCACTAAAAATGTTGATTAAATTTGATTCGAGTATAGGTTAGGAGGACATTTGACCATTTTCTCAAAAAGTCTTTCTTTTTTTGGCAATTCTTTAATTCTAATTATCCACATGGTATCGGAAAGTCAAGACCACAAGATTTAAGTGCATTTTGATACATTCTACACATCTTTAGTTTAAGAACACGAGATTCAAAGGTGTTCTTTACTTTATAAACTTTGTGACAAGTCAAAACCAGACAAACAAACTGAAGTAGAGGGAGTACATTTCTTTAGGTCTCAGCAGTGAACTCTAGATTGAATATATCTAGCATCAATATCATACTTCAAAGTCTGGCACAAATTATACTAGAGTCAATGACAGTAGAATACAAAGAGCTATATGACCTTGAATAAAATTCCCTGCCTAATCTGCCAGCTAGGCCAAAAATGAGACAGATCTCATGTTGATTAAGGTCTCTTAAGTGTTTCCAGTGTTTTTTGCTGGACCTCAGAGATACAGATCAGTTGGAGTTTCTTGAAACACAATGTTTGTTTCCCTGATCCTTTCCAGCTTCTCCCAGGTTTTGCCTCGGATTTATCTAGATGCTGAGAATTTAACTACTTAGTAATAAAAATCTAATTAATAGACTACTATCCTGGCCAGAGAGGAATGCAATTCTCCATTTTACTAAATCAACCAATCAGTCCTGTTTAACTTAGAAAATATATGCTCACTCTGAAGTCTGAAACCAAGCACTAAAACTTAAATCTATTCTTCCCCCCGAGATAAAGAACACCATATTGGTATCACTTGCTATTTGTTCCCCTTTCTTTGGTTAACCCGCTAAATATAATATAATGGTCACCTGGCAACAATAGGCAGAGACAAGAAATCCAAACAGCAGTGTGCTCTAAACTACAATAATTAGGATATTTTAACGAGCCAAATAATTAGGATATATGCTGGGAGGGATGAAGGAGAGGCTGAGAAAATCTATTAACAAAGTCAAAGCACCAGGATCTTACTTCAATCTAGGAGCACCAAACCGTTCTGAAAAAGTTTGAAGTTCAGCTACTGTCTCCAGATTGAAACCAGCAGCTGCTGCACGAGAACAAGCTGTAGATAAATCCTGTTGAACTGTAGTGAGCCTCACATCAATTGCTCGCAGTAGCTCCTTCCTGTAAATAGGTAGTAGTTAACATGAAATGAAGATGCTTACTAAGCGGCAAAGCAAAAACCAACGGTAAAAGCATTGAATGCATGAAGAAGCAGAGTAAGGAAGTTACTTTGTCGCATCAGCTGTTATGGTAACCCCAGATCCACCACTACCTGGATTAAGTATTAAAGCAAAGAAGATTGTCAGATAAACACCACTTTAGGGCAGTAGAATCAATGGTCTTAAACAAAACGACTCATAATAAATTCAGTCTTCACTTTTCATGCCTAAATTTAACGACAGCAACATAAAATAAGATGAAACAACTAATCTCAAGGCCAGGCAGCAAAGCTTCCACATGAAGAGCAGATAAAAACACCATGCAGAAACCATCATATCTCCGACAACCAACAATCCTAACCTTGGCTTATTCTCTAACCTAGACCCCAGTAAGATGGAAACTAGAATGTAGAGATGATTTCGGTATCTGCAAATGCTTTCTAGTGAAAACTATGTGATATGATACTAGACAGAAACAGCAATAGCCAAAAAGAGAGAATGGACAGATGTTTAAGGAGATGACCAATTAGACGAGATGCGAGGTAGCTTAGCAGCAGGGGGAGTTATTGTGCAACGACACAGGCAGTATTGTTTTTCTAAGTTCTAAAAAAAAAATGGGGTTAGGGGAAGGGGAAATAGGGGAGGGATTACAAGGTGGGTAAAAGTACTTGACAAAATGTGAAAGCTCAAATTTGATCATTGGGTAACTTACCATTCCCATTAAACTGGTCGCCTGCTCCCTGAAATAAAGAAAATAACAAGCAAATTATGTTAATATCTTGTAATTTTGGTCAACTCTAAATTACAGCGAATCCAGACACGGTTTGCCACCTGTGAATATAACTTGCGGGCTGCTTCAAGCTGGGACATTTCCGCATCTAATGTATTGACAAGCTCCAGAACTTCTGGCGTGCTGACAAACCTCACAAACCTGCAGAGGAAGACACAAAATCAAATCATTCTTCATTTTCCTCAAGTCATTTTTTAAGCAAGCTGCAAAAGTCATTACCTTTCTAGGGTTCCTTTCGTGAACCATGATTCAGCCTTTTTGCGCCTTTCAACTTCAAGCTTAATAGATTGAACAGCCAATGCAACTTGCTCTTCTGCAATTTTCAAATGGGTCACAAAAGGCTTCAACAATCCTGATGCTAGTTTCTCCGTGTTTCCACCACGAGAAACAAACAATTCGCATCTGCCCAAGCAAATCCAAAAACACCATAACTATTAGTGCATTCATTGTACATTTTCACACAAAACTAAAAATATATCCACCACTCACCGAGAGCGCTTCGGTGACAGCTGGAAAACAGCATAATCAAGTAGTGAATCCGATTCCATCTTTGCCTTCCCCTCAATAAAACAACACAGTGTTCCCTTCAGCTTCTTTCATATAACCTCCCCGCCTCTTCAAAATCCGAACAAATACAATCAACAATGAGCACAACCCACTTTCAAGAATCAGAAGTAGTATACTAACAAAAAAAAGGACAAAGACACGGTCTTTAAAAGATGATAGATCTTATCAGATTTCAATATAATGTACATTGCTGAAAAGCACATTTCCTTTAGATCCACTTATATGCAAAACACAGTTCCAAATGCTAAAAAAATCCAATCTTTAAAGCTAAATTATTGAAGTCTTTATAAGTCAATGCCATTGAACATAAAACCCTAACAATTACGAATTGGGGGAAAATGATGAGACGATCGTAGAAATCAAAACTCACCCAATGCAATGTGAAGGCGGAGATCTTGAATTACGGAGCTAGATCGGCGGAATCCGGTTCATACCCAAACCGACATTTTAGTTTCTTTAAGCTGAATGTCAGTTAGAAAAAAAATACTTCAAATTTATTAATTTCTGAAGAATGGGTTTTGGGGGTTTTCACCAATTTCAAAGAAAACCCTACAATGGATTTTGCTTTACTCTATTCTCAAATGATCTTCTTTATTTTTCCATTTATTTATTAAAAAAATGTATGTACAATACAGAGTTACAGAGAAAAAATGGAGAGTGAATAAGTATAGTAGATACAGTAGAGAGAGAAAGAGAGAATAAAATTGTGTTTCGGACAAAATAAGTAATCTTTAACTAGGATGAAAGACAAAAGAGAAATTTCATTATGCGGGTAGATGTTTTCAAATTAACCAATGAATGACTGCCACCTGTTTGTTGTCTCCCTCTCTATAATTATTTTTTCCATATCCAGGTTAGAGTTCAACTAATTCAGATTCATGTCGAAAAAGGCATCACTCGAGGGTTACTACTCTCTACTAAAAAAAAAATTCATACTCATTGCTCGAATTTGGGACCTCAGATTAGGAAAGGAATAGCAACATCTACTGCACCACATTAATTATGGATGACTATTATTGTTATTATTATTTTAAGGTTTAGAAAATCAACACCAACAATTTTCAAATTACTTTTTTTTGGCTCCTTTTTCTTTCAAAGTTTTCGACTATGCATTATTAATTAGTACTGTACTATTAAATTTTATCTACTATCTTTTTCTCTTTTAAGTGGACAATGTTATTTATTTGGGTAAATATTAAGAAAATAGCTAATCATATAAAGTAACAAATTAATTGAAGTATTTAAACTTGAACAATCTTTTGTAGTACTTTTTTCGTAATAAAAGTTTCATCAATGAATCGAGAGATAAAGCATGGTAATAAAAAAGAAAGTTTGATCTGAAATTTATAAGATATGTGATTATGAAGATTCAATAATATATATTCTTTTACGGTGTTAGCGGTCACTTTTTTTATATTTAAGCTAAACATTATAATTTGTAATATTTTTTTAGATTAAATTATATATATATATATATATAAATCATAAAATTGATAGATAATTTTCATTTTTTTGATAATGGTGGGGATATCATTTTTGTCGGAATATACTGTAATATATACTACTTAATTTTGTAACAAGTATTTACTAAAAAAATTCATATTAACGTGCAATGATATGTTTCATTGTAGTATCAACTAATTGTATCTAAAGAAATTTACTAATTAAATTACTAATAATGAATATCCAATATTATCCACAAGCATTTAGTAATGCAATATTAGTTGCATCTAAGGAAAAAACATTTAGGTGGTAATTGTCAATGATATTTTAATTAAGATTAATTTATAAAAAACATTAAAATATTCAATATTAACGTGCAACGATATGTTAAGTAGTAGTATCAAAATTGAATCTGGTTCTCTGACATAAGTGGCAAAAGGAAATGTTCTTTCTTTGACTTTATTAATTAAAGTTCATGTTCATCTCATTACCTTAACACACCAACTAATGAAGCTTATTCTAAATTAATTAATTCTGTAATAACTATCTGAACATCTTTTATATGGGTAACAATATTTAGTTTTACCCCCCAATCTATTAGCTAGCTTAATAGTTAGCGGTTCACTAAACTATAGTCTATAGTTGGATAATGATTTATGGATCGTTTTATATGGGCTGACTCACAACCCGATTTGTAAAATAACAACAAGAAGTTTACATATAATAAAATGGTTGAAGGAGCGATTGTTTATTTACTGAATTGCTTCTTCTCTTTTTCCTTTTAAAAGAAAAAAATTGTAGTTCATCGTTTCCTAAATTTTAAATGTTAATATAGATGTATAACAGTCGTTAGCTACAACAACTAAAATATTTGGATAATGATGTCATTATAAAAAAATCGAATTGTGCATAGTAAATAAAAGTATGGTCGATAGCTTTTTTTTTTCTGCATCATTCTCATGTGTAAAACCGTTAAAGGTATACATAGAACATGATGGACAAACTTGTTTCTCACGTCTTTGGCACAACAAGAATTAAGTGTTCCTCATTACTATTTTTCGAGGTAGAGTCGGGATTTTTAGTTTATAAGTTTCATCGATTACAATCTTTTGTTGTTTACTAAATTTTAAATAAATTACTTAATTATACATATTAAACGAACTTAGAGACTTTGATAGAAAGTTATTAAGTTCTGTCAAACCCACAACTTCTTCCCGAATATTCCTCATCACTTCACTGATATTGACGTTTTTAGAAAAACATTTTCCATGTGAGTTTTTACTGTTTTAGGCCGCATTTCGTGGCTAAAGCTAATTATGATCTGTTGCAATACGTGATTGGTGACAGTTCTAAAATAAAGTGTTCAAAATTTATAACGAAATGTTTGTTTATTCTTCCTGATATTTGTATTTAACTTAGTACTGATATTAATTCGGAACAATATATTTAAATTGTCTCTAGAAGCTTTATTTCATATACATTGCTTCAAACAACTTTGATGTCCAAACTTTCTGTTTCTAATGCTAACCATAAGTCACACAAAGATAACTACAAAAAAAATACACCATTTGGGGATCTCCTACAACAACAATAACATACTGGTGTGGTGTAATTCCACAAGTGGGAACCCTCGACTCAAACAAAACATATCAAAATCAGTAAGAAAACGAAATACAATGGTAAGAAAGTCATGGAGAAAACAAAATCCGGAGTTGCTCATGTGATTTCAATATTGTTAATATAACACATTATTGACATCCTGGAAGGTTTCAAACCTTATGTTCATTGAGCAAGTAGCTGCTCATTCTTCAACCCCAGGTTGTGATGGCTCATTCTATCTTAATTTTAGCTACTCAGAAACCTATTACTCGATAGAACATTGTATAAAAGTAGAACACCTTCTACACATTAGCCTTGATTGAGTCTCGAATCGGAGCTCTCATCGTGGGGAGCAAAACGAGTATGAGGCCAATGAACTTAAACTCCATAAACAATTTGGAGTTTTGTAGAAGTTAAAAGACTATTTTATTGTGTTCACTTTGTTGTTCAAATAAATGTAAGTCAATCTATGTATAAAAGGAAAGGCAAAGATGGAAAGCTTAGTTCAGTCAAATAAACTATCAATTGAGAATTAATGAACTATATAATATTCTACAACTTGGCTTTCAAATGAAGACGCATTACAAATACAAACCTCTGTCAGATACCGAGATCTTTATTAGACCTTAAATACTGCTATCACTGTTGTTGTTGTTGTTGTTGTTATGGTTGCTGGTGGCGGCAGCATGGTTGTTGCTGTGATGGTTGCTGTTTCCACTTCTCCTGTGCTTAAGCTGTGAAATTTCCAATTGTGTATTCATGAAGAACTGCATTCTCTGCAATTCCATTTCTTTCGCAAATTTCATCCTCTGCTTCTCCATCTCCACCATTTGTTGCAGCTTCGCGCTCTCTGTTTGTTCATATGCTTCCCCGAATTTTAGTATTGCCTGTGTCAATTCCCTCACTGAATTCCCCCAATTTTTGTTTCCACCTTCCTTTCCACTAGCTTCTCCAATTCCAATTCCTCCCTGCCTTAATGCGCTTGAATTCAGCATTTCCTTCTGAAACCTTGGTCTCTTTTTTTGAAATGTGCCCGGAGGAAAACTGTCGGTTGAAGCAGGTGAAAGGTCCGGTTCTGACTCCGATTCCGATGTGTCTGAATCCATGTGAGGCCTTTTCCGGGACGGTTGCTTTTGCTTCTGCAGCTGTTGATGTTGTCGAAGCTGAGGAAGGGACCTGACTCCCATAGGAATACCCATAGGCACATGCTGATTACCTGAATACAAATTAGACGGTCCGGCAGCGACGGTAGGATTGATCTTAGCCGTCGGACCTATCAACATATCGAGCTTATCAAAGAAAGGCCACTTGCTTGGTCCTTGACCCGCAGCGATCTTAGATTTCTCCAGCTTGTATTTCTTCTTTACAGTATCAATTCGATTTTTGCACTGAATATCAGTTTTAGGCGTTTTTCTATAATCCTCCTGACGGCAAACAATGTCAGCAACATCTTTCCAGTGCTTCTGCTTCAAATTACCTCTACTCAATTCCATGTACCGCTCACCCCAAGCCTCGATCAGTACAGCCGTAGCCTCTTCACTCCAACAATCCTCCCTTCCACCACCACCACTACCACCGCCGCCAGACGCTCCAGCAGGTCTCGATTGCTGTATCGGTAGAGCCAAAGTCAAGGTGTTCTGAGGAGGCGCTGATGCTACCGTCACCGTTATCCTCCCGTTAGATCGCGGCGATTCCGGAGATCCAGAACCACCGGACTGATGGGACTGAGTTTCTTCGTCGTTCTCCATAAACTTAAACCGTTATAGCAGATTCCGGTACGCCGATCTGAGAGTTTGTAGAAAGAGAAGATGAAGAAGGAATTTTAGGTTAGGGTTTCGGTTGACCGGCGGTATATAATGAGGGAAGGGACTGTTTGGTTAGTATTTGAGTTTAGTTTTGGGTAAAAGTTTTATTTTTTGGACAATTTATCGGTGGACGGAAAAAACAGAGATGGCGTGACGGCGTCGGTCTTAGGGTGCCGAGGAGTAGGACACGTGGCGGCTAGGTATAGGTCGGAAAGCCGACTACTTTTACAGGAAATCCGTCTCCGGCGGCGTAAAGACCAATTAGGCCGGCTTAAGGTTTGTTAATACTCCAATATTTTATATTATCACATAATTAACAGGACACTATAATTACTCCTTTTTTCTCTTCAAGTATTAATTATGAAGGTGTTAATTAACACAGTACAATGATGATATTGTGTACGCATTTTTCTTTTTGAACTTTACTTATGAAATTGAATATAGTATTGTTGTTATTGTTATTGTTATTTTATGAAACTAGTGAGGATGTCTCAATAAAAGGCTCAAACCATAGAGAGTACAAGTTTTAGAATAAGTAAGCATTCGTTCTATCAAAGATTTTGAAGCTAAAAATATGAGTTTTTGAAGTTTGAAGTTATGTTCGAACATGATTTTTTTTTAAAAGAACCCCAAAACTAGTTCGAGCCAACTTTTTGGAGATTGAAACATTTGAAGATCAAATTTCATAATCAAACAATTATTTAAAGATACATTTTCAAAATTTGATCTAAAATCTATGATCAATTGTTAGAGAAAAATAAGACTAAATATCATAATTGTAACGTTCTTACTTACGTGTTTGGACCATACTCTCTATTTCCAAATAATGAAATGTTATTGGTCATAACGTCTTAAGGAAATTTTCAAATAATCAACTTCTTTTGATAAGATTTTACTCTTGCCAACTTCTTTGAATTGACAACTTAATATAATTTTAGATTATTTTATTTTCCAAGTTTAACTTGAAATAGTTCGAATTGACAACTTAAGAGAAATAATGCATCACTCATAAGAGGTTAAAATATGAGAAAAAAATAATAATTCAACATTTGGTAGAAATATGAGAAAAAAATAATTCCCATATGGAGATGCGGGGGATCGAACCCCGTGCCTCTCGCATGCAAAGCGAGCGCTCTACCATTTGAGCTACATCCCCGATGCTACAACAATGAGAGAGCAAATATATCACTTAAATTCATCAAATACGCTTATAACTATGTATTCTTATTTGAACTCAGCAAATATATCACTTGCAAACAGTAATGTTGCGTACACACCACTCTCCCTAGATTTCACTTATAGTATGTTGTTAGTTGAATGTGTTTTTATTAAAATGATCTTATTAGAGTAATTTATTGGCATTCGACACCGCTTAAATAATATCATGTATATAACATTGTGAGATAGATGCCAGGCAGGTAATTAGTTGTGTGTTCATCATCACTAGTTTGTTGCTTTTCCTAAGGCTATATATTACACTTTCAACATCTGCATTTGCCTAAAGTACGAATCAACTCCCAGTGACAACAACGTGTACACAATTTTACCCCTACTTTGTAAAAGTAGAGAGATTCCCTTTTCGATAGACCTTCGGCTCAAGTAAAAACATATCAGCATCAATAAGAAAAGGAATATGATGACTCCTTAGCTTCTTATTTTCCTTACTGGAGTCGTTCATGAAGGAATATAATCTAATGAAAGTTACTAGTTTATACAGGTACATAGAAGTCAACCATTTCCAGAAAGTGAATTACAGGAAATTCGTCCTCAATAGTCAATATATTTGAATCAGATGACTAATTTGCCGATCTAAATTCTGCTAGTTATATATGTTGATGAAGGCAGTTTATGATACGTTATAAATTCTCATAGCTTTTGAGATGATGATTGATAGTATTGCAGAAGCTTAGATAAATCGGTAATATGGTGACTGCTAGAGTGTTCTCTTGTAATGAAAATGTCACAAGGATTTTCTATAGTAATTTTCACGTCTCTATCATTGTGAAATCTTAAAAGGTACCCTTGAAAAAAAAACCGTTTGTGATTTGTAACATCATAAAACCTGTTTGATACAGCGTTTCAACTATGATTAAGGGGAAAACAAAGAACTTAACCTCATTCTTTGGTATCAGGAATTAATTTACAGGACTAGTAAACATGTTTTCCAGAGGGGTATGGTGGAGAAACCAAATTTGAGCAACTTCATCCTCACAGGCTGAATTAGCTAGCTACTGTAAACTAAACTGCGTAATTACAGGCCCTTCAAAACCATTCAACTATTGGTGGCTCATTCTGCAATGTTCCTTCAGATGCCTCCAACGTCTTGTAAAAACTTCCATTATGCTACACCTATATAACCTATGCCTCCCATTTCTTGATCTGCAAAATGGAGAATATGATTAGCTCCGTATATGTAAACATGGTAAGCAAAGTGCATGTCAAGAATGTAATTAGCTCCGTCTATGCAAACATGGTAAGCAAAGTGCATGACAAAGCGACTTGTGAAATAAGAGATAAATAGAGTGGTGAGCTGGGAAATATGCAGCAAGTCTCCAGATGGATGGACCAGATCCCATCTGCTGTTTCAAAGTAAAGGTGAGAACAGCTTCCTGTTGCCTCTAAAATTGGAAAGCATAGCTGTGGTGGCAAACTTACTTCCAAAAGCCCAAGTAAAATATTGTTTCTAACAGCAATGCATGCTCAATTGGCTCAAGATAGAGCCTTAGTGCCTTACTATATGCACGTGATGCTGACTTGTCCAGAAAAGGATATGCAAACTAGTAATTGTCATGGAGGGGTACAACAACATCTCTTTAGCAGTATGTGTTGTTCAGAATTATGACAGAAATTGAAGGTAGCATCCTAGACTTCTACAAAAAAGCAGAAAGCACGCTTCCGTAGTCAAGTGGTGTAGAGCTTCAGGGTTTAGATTCTAACACACATGCAATGATACTAAACATGCTTTACACCAACAAATGAGAAGTACCCATTTATCACTAGAAGCATGTCATGACAAAAACTGTTTTTTAATCGGATGTACCCAAGAACTAAACTACTGATTTGCAATGAAACCCAAAAAGAAATAACATTACTATCATTTTGCAGCAGCCAAGACATGATTTAGAACTCCAGACATACAGCACATTTATCCAATGGGCAACTGATATTGGTCTAGAGAAGGATCGCTTGTGAAGTGCAAACATAGTGATGGGGCATGAAAATTCAGGGCCACTATAGGCTGGGCTCTCCAGAAAACAAGCAAATCACAGTAGAATTCATCTTAAAAGAAGTAATACTTACCATCAAGGTCTGTACAGTTAACACGGGAGATACACCAAGAACTCCAGGGACCATCAAAACCTTGTCATCTCATGCAACATTTGAGAAGCATTAGACTGTGAAACCATGTTGTCTGAACTTGGAGGTCTGATCATGTGATTTGATTCACCCGCCCCTGGTCTGACGGTTTCCTTAGCACTACTATTTGTACTTGTTTCTGTTTGTGAGGTCTCCATCAAGGTACGTATCTGAGTCAAATTAACAATGATTCTAAAAATCATCCATCAAGATCGAGGCAGGTTATATTATCATATAGAATTGCACTCACCACATCCAAACGCTTTTTGTGGAGATCACTTGATGACTGCACAGAGTTAGAAACATTATGTCAAAAAGTAGCCTGAGATTCCACCCAATCTAAATAACTACAATCATTGATGAATAAGCAGATTACCAGCAATTGTGGACTACAATCAGCAACTAAACAAATGAGCAAGGATGAGTTAAAGATATTGTTACAGTTTACTATTAGTAGTCATAATTCTTTTTTTTTTATAACCGTGGTGTTAGGGCTTGCTTGCGCGCACCTCCACTAATTCCACAGGATATCTCCCACCTCCCAACAACAATAAATACCAGGTAACTTTGTCCACCAAGGCTAGGACAGAGAAATCACCAAGTATTTCTGTCTCTGCTGGGAGGGAGGTTCCTGAGACCTCATGGTTCTCAACCCATTTCATTTTTTGATGACAAGAGAAACCCGCAGCCGCTACCCTTTGGGTGCACACAGGGTAAAACCCCCGCTCCTATGCAATAGCTCACAAACCACATAGGAGAGGTAACCTGCACTAGGCAAGCCCGGTGCGACGAGCTTGACCCAGAAGGCAGACCCTTTGCTTTCGCTGGCAAGGGGTTTCGAACTTGAGACCTCCAACATGGAAGTCTCAAACCCAAACCACTGGGCCACCCCGAAGGGTTGTTCTCAACCCACTTCATTGACCACTAGGTCACACCCTTGGTGCTCTTTTAGTAGTCATAATTCAAGTCACATCATTATTCTACATTAGTGCAGATACAAGAAGGGAATATACCACCCATGAAAAGGCTAAGAAAAAGAGGCAGAGCTACATACATTTTCTGGATAGTGTTTCCTCTCTTCACTTGAGAAGCCTGGAATAGTCAAGTGCCAGTTTTTCTCTGTAGAGAATCACAACAACATTTAGATTAGAAAAATACCTCAGTTTCCTTTATTTCTTAATATATGATATAAAACATCTTTAGACGATACAAACATCTCCCTAAAATACCAACTGTAAAGTGTAAACAACATACCCTAAATGTCTGTGGGTGTATGCACATGCTTGTGCGCCCACCGAAAGCATATTAGAAGACATCATAAAGTAGTCCTCTATGAGCGATAAATATATATGACATTGGGCTGATATTGATGTTTACATATTACAAATATTTGAGATAGTACCTTGACAATAAATATACATGTATCACATTGGGTACGTTGTTGTAGTTAAAACATGAAATGGGTGGAAAGTTTCAAAACTACTTGATCTCTCTATATATACAGCTTATATGTGTATCTTTCAGAGGCAAGGTCATATTGTTCTACCATAAGGGTTAAGTTTGATGCTTAAGTTCCTGGAACTCACATTCAAAAGCTTACACAGATATAGCATAAGCTGCAACTACTCCTAATGATAAGAGAGAGTTTGGTATCATTCCAATTTTATCGGATGTCACCGAAGGGACAGAGGGAGCTTGTATTAAAACTGCATTTCGTCATTGAAATTTTGCTTGCTACTTATAAGTAAGAAAGTGGTGGCATTTCAATTCAAGCATAGCATTTCGATGCGTCCATTAGCAGATGAAAAGCTTGAAATGCATAAGAAAATGAAGGAGATGATACGATAAACGTTGGTATCAAAGTGAAAATGCTGACAAAACTGCCATTACCCAGTTCAGCATATAGCTCCATTTGTGAACATGATCTATGAGCTTTCCTATTATCATCAGAAACTAAGGAACACGGAGAGGACAACAGCTACTGGGAGAGCCTTAAA